AGTGGTCTGCTGTGGTCAAAGTTTCTGCGTTTGGGAGTTTGTTGTATTTGAAGATCTCTCTCTGGCGGTATAGGTGAAGTAGCCTTGAGATGTCTCTCTGGTCGAATGCGAGAAAGTGCTTTGCTGTCATACCTGGGGGGAAGAGTTTGTTGCGCTATATTGGTGTTACCGGGGAGAGAAAGGAGGATAGGTCATATCTGGGGTTGAGTTTGTCCCAGAGGGTTAATGTGTGGGTGATTGGTCCCAGCCCATGATGTCGTGCTCCAGGTCCACCCATCTTTTGGTGCCTGGAGCTGCGTGCCATTGTTGGGTATGAGCTAGTTGGGCTGCATTATAATATTGCTGGAAGTTGGGCAGTCCCAGTCCGCCCCTGAGTCTTGGGACGTACATTGTTGCCCTGCGAATTCTGGGTCTCTTGGCCTTCCATATGAATCTGTCGATGTCCGCCTGGAGGTGTTTGAAGTCCATTTTCTGTATCAGGACGGGTAGTGTCTGGAAGAGGTAGAGAAATCTCTCAAGGAGATTCATTTTGATGGTGGTGACTCTTCCCAGCCATGATACCACCAGTTTGTCCCATCGTTGTAGGTCTGTGTACGCTGTTGTGAGTAGTGGTGTATAGTTGAGGCCATAGATGTCTCTGAGTACTGGGCATAGCGTGGTGCCCAGATAGGTAAGGGTAGTCGTGGTGAGGGGTGGGGAGGAATGGGGGAGGGGATCAGCAGGGCCCTGCCCGCGTAGGCACGTTGGGCCACAAGGGCGTCCCTTGGGGGCCGGTTGGTTTTGAACTGGGCTTATCAAACTGGCCAGTCGTGGGGTAGGTGGGGGACTCGGTTTTCTGACCTGAGGTCCGTGTAGTGATTCTCAAGAGAATCGAGGCCGGTGAGGGAGGTGTTCGCAAATAGTGACAGGTTCTGCCTATGACCTGCCTGTGAATGAATTGATTTGGCTGAGCCAGGTGTGAGGGTCGGTGTGGGGGGAGAGGAGGGGGGGGGGACCCAGGCCGTTGTGCCCGTTGATTGGTTCATAGTTGGAGACCCTCGTGTGCGTGGTCTGTTATCTGGTGGGTGGGTATGTCTATAATTGTATGGCAACTGTGCCGTAACTTCTCTATTGTGTGGGTTCAGTATGCTGATGTCCTGGTGTGTCGGGGTGGCTTTGTGTTACGTAGCGCTTGATAGTGTGTGCGCTGAGTTTGTGTGTTCCTGTGTGTTAGGTGGGTGTGTGTTAGGTGGGTGTGAGTACTGCTTTGTCGCTGCGTGGTTACCCTGTGTTGGTGACACCAGGTGGTGTGTCGTGCCGAGTCAGCGGTTGGACAACGTCGCGCTGTCATGGTTTTGCGAAATAAACATAAACATTTTATAACAATTGTGCTATGGCATTTCCATCATTTAGATACAATGCTCTGGTAGCTTGAGGCGATATATGGTATAGGAGCAGCCGGCCACGGGCAAGGACAATTCAATGGCCCGCGTCCGGTCGCCCCTGTGGAGGGCTATGGTTTGTTAGGTTGTGTTTTCGCCTCTCTGTGTGGGGTATGGTGTTAGAGCACCCCGTGCATCATCAGCCTCTGACACGGTTTGCGTTTCAATGACATTCAAATAACATTAGTGCAGTTTCGTTTTAACAATTTAACATTTCAACGACCTTCTATTAACAAAAAAAACTATGTATTATGCAGGTGCCACCTGTCTCGTATATAGTTAGCATCACGTCCCTTAGCCAGGTGACCCTGGGGATTGTCTGTTAGTTGGTCGGTCTCGTCAGTGTCCTATTGAGGGGTGCGACGTTGGGCCGCCCTGCTTGGGGTCCGCTTGTATGTGTGCAGTTATTGGGACCCTGTTTGTCTAGCGGGGTTATAATTCCCTTATTATTATGTCCCAGGTGCCTTGTGCCCTTGCTCTGGGTCCTTGTGTGGCGACTGCTTAATGGGTGGTGCTTTAGGTTAATGTGGTGTCCCCTGGAGCCACTGCTCTTGGGCCGTACTCAGTGTGGTCGGGGGCTGCGTGTGTGGTGGTGGTTACTGTCAGATGCTGCTTTGGCGTCTGCTGTCTGGTTCGGTTTGAGTTCCAACGACATTCAAGTAACATTACTACAGGTTCGATTTATCATTTCAACAACATTCTATTACCAAAGGGTAGCGTGTTATGCAAGTACCACCTGTCCTATGTATAGTGAACATAATTTCCCTTAGCCAGTCGACCCTGGGAGTTGTCTGTTAGTTGGTCGGTCTCGTTGGTGTCCTATGGAGGGATGCAGAGTCGGGCCGCCCTGCGAGTGGTCTGCTTTTATGTGCAGTTATTGGGACTCTGCCTGACTAGCGGGGTTATGGTTCCCTTTTATGTCTGAAGTGCCTTGTGCCCGTGCTCTGAGTGCTTGTGTTACATCTGCCTAATGGATGGCGGTTTAGGCTAGTGTTGTGTCCCCTGGAGCCGCTGCTGTTGGGCCATGCCTATTGTGGTCGTGGTCTGCTTGTGTGGTGATGGTTTCTGTCAAGTGCTGGTTGCGTGTCCGCTGTTCTTGTGTACAGTGTTTTTGTGACTCCATTCTCCATGTGTCGTGTGTGGAGCTGGGGTTCCTGGTCTGCCGTTTGCCTGTCTTCTGTCCGACTGTCTCGGTGGGCCTGGGTGTTGATGGTCTCGGACCAGGGAGTTATTTTTGTCCTTAGAGGCTACAGTCCCGGGCCAGTGCTGTCCTGTCAGCGTTTCTTTTCCAGCCACTGTGTGATGGGAGTACTTTGTAAGGGTCATCCTGGCTTGCGGTCCCCTGGATCCCCACCTCCTCCTCCCCACAGGTCCCCCCTCCACTGCTCCCCCCAACAGATCCCCCACCCACCGATCCACCCCCCCCCCACTGCTCCCCCTCCCGGTTCCCTGAGATCAGGTCATTCAAGTTCGGTGTTAGGTGGCTGCGGGCGGTAGGTGCCTCACATGCCGTTTGGGGGGCCGTGAATGTGCTGTACCCCGTGCATTATACAGGGAGTGCAGAATTATTAGGCAAGTTGTATTTTTGAGGATTAATTTTATTATTGAACAACAACCATGTTCTCAATGAACCCAAAAAACTCATTAATATCAAAGCTGAATATTTTTGGAAGTAGTTTTTAGTTTGTTTTTAGTTATAGCTATGTTAGGGGGATATCTGTGTGTGCAGGTGACTATTACTGTGCATAATTATTAGGCAACTTAACAAAAAACAAATATATACCCATTTCAATTATTTATTATTACCAGTGAAACCAATATAACATCTCAACATTCACAAATATACATTTCTGACATTCAAAAACAAAACAAAAACAAATCAGTGACCAATATAGCCACCTTTCTTTGCAAGGACACTCAAAAGCCTGCCATCCATGGATTCTGTCAGTGTTTTGATCTGTTCACCATCAACATTGCGTGCAGCAGCAACCACAGCCTCCCAGACACTGTTCAGAGAGGTGTACTGTTTTCCCTCCTTGTAAATCTCACATTTGATGATGGACCACAGGTTCTCAATGGGGTTCAGATCAGGTGAACAAGGAGGCCATGTCATTAGATTTTCTTCTTTTATACCCTTTCTTGCCAGCCACGCTGTGGAGTACTTGGACGCGTGTGATGGAGCCTTGTCCTGCATGAAAATCATGTTTTTCTTGAAGGATGCAGACTTCTTCCTGTACCACTGCTTGAAGAAGGTGTCTTCCAGGAACTGGCAGTAGGACTGGGAGTTGAGCTTGACTCCATCCTCAACCCGAAAAGGCCCCACAAGCTCATCTTTGATGATACCAGCCCAAACCAGTACTCCACCTCCACCTTGCTGGCATCTGAGTCGGACTGGAGCTCTCTGCCCTTTACCAATCCAGCCACGGGCCCATCCATCTGGCCAATCAAGACTCACTCTCATTTCATCAGTCCATAAAACCTTAGAAAAATCAGTCTTGAGATATTTCTTGGCCCAGTCTTGACGTTTCAGCTTGTGTGTCTTGTTCAGTGGTGGTCGTCTTTCAGCCTTTCTTACCTTGGCCATGTCTCTGAGTATTGCACACCTTGTGCTTTTGGGCACTCCAGTGATGTTGCAGTTCTGAAATATGGCCAAACTGGTGGCAAGTGGCATCGTGGCAGCTGCACGCTTGACTTTTCTCAGTTCATGGGCAGTTATTTTGCGCCTTGGTTTTTCCACACGCTTCTTGCGACCCTGTTGACTATTTTGAATGAAACGCTTGATTGTTCGATGATCACGCTTCAGAAGCTTTGCAATTTTAAGAGTGCTGCATCCCTCTGCAAGATATCTCACTATTTTTGACTTTTCTGAGCCTGTCAAGTCCTTCTTTTGACCCATTTTGCCAAAGGAAAGGAAGTTGCCTAATAATTATGCACACCTGATATAGGGTGTTGATGTCATTAGACCACACCCCTTCTCATTACAGAGATGCACATCACCTAATATGCTTAATTGGTAGTAGGCTTTCGAGCCTATACAGCTTGGAGTAAGACAACATGCATAAAGAGGATGATGTGGTCAAAATACTCATTTGCCTAATAATTCTGCACTCCCTGTACTTGCTGCAAACACAAACAGTAGGATAAGTGTCGCTAAACCAAAATAAATAAATAAACAAATCCCAGTGCGTCTAAAACCAAACCAGTGTTTTAGTCACCTTAAAACACTTACATTAATACAAATGGATACAAGGAAAGGTGGTTTTGCGCACAGAATGGATGTAACATCCATTGTGTGTGCAAAACCACCTTTCCTTGTATCCAATTATACTTGCTGCATCTAGACCAGTGTCCATGGCTTAAAGTCCCATTAAGGTAACGGTGTGTGGTTGTTTGTAGTTGGTGGAAGGGGTCCTGGGTTTGTGTGCTCTGTAGTCTGCGGTCAGTCCTGCACTTGATGGCATGCTTCGATGTAGCCATTAGTGCGGTGGTGTGGTCCTTGTCTTTGGGTGTTCAGGCAGGGTATTGAGTGGCTGGCCCATGCATCGCGGGTTGGTGAGTCCTGGAAGGGGTGCTTGGGTGTCACGTCGGGTGGCTAGTCCTGCTGCGCTGTTTATCCTTCTTCAGTGGTGTGCGGTGTCCGGCCTTTGCGGTGCCGTGTCCGGTGCTGGAGGTCACCATTTCTGGCTGGCAGGTTGTTCCTTGGCGTCTGTTGTGAAGTGGAGTCGACGTTGGAGTGCAGTGTCTCGGGGATCTGCGGTAGGCCCATCTGGTCCAGGAGAGTGTGAATTTCGTCGGGGCACGTGAGGGAGTGGAACCTGCCATCTTTGGGGATAATTATTTTGAAGTGATGGCCCCATGCATACCGGAGGCCATATTGATTGGCTGAGATGTTGTGTGAGTGGGCGCAGTTCTCTCCTTCTTTTCAGAATGGTCGGTGCCAAGTCTTGAAACAGTTAGACTGGCACTCCTTCCACTTTATGCGCTCCTTAATATGATAAAAGTGGAGGCGTACGGCGATGTCCCTGGGGGTGGCTGCATTGGTGCTTGGGGCCCTCAGTGCTCGGTGTGCCCGATTCATCAAGAGGTCGGCGGCTGTAAACTCCGGTAGGAGGTTTTGAAAGGTTTTGAGGGTATCAGTGAGGAGATCTGTAGAGATTGATTCCGGTATGCCCCTCACTCTGACGTTATTCCTCCGTGTTCTGTTGTTGAGATCTTTGTTGGTATCTTTGAGGGAGGGTAGTTGTTCACGTAAGTGTTGCAGTTCGCTGCCATGGGCATATACCATTTCCACTGTCTCCGCCATTTTGGTCTCTGTGGCCTGTGCGCGGGCTGAGAGGTCCGCCATGCCTTCCATGATCGGGCATAGCCGTTTGTCAAGTTCTTCGGCCACAGATTTTTTGAAGTCGGCCATGAATCCACGCATATCCCGTGGGGTCAGCTGGGCCTCTGTTCTCTCAGAGTTTGCCTGACTGCTCATTTCGGATTCAGAGTCCGACAGTGAGGGTTCCAAAGATGGCGCCTGTTTTTGTTCTGTCTTTTGCCTCAAGATTGGTGCGACGGAGGAGTTGCAGGCTTTCCTCCCATCGCTCATTGAGGGGGTGAGTGTGGGTGTCGGAGGGAATACCAGGGGTAATTTTGGGGTGTATGGGGGCTCAGGTGCTTTGGATGGATGTAGATTTAGGCTAGGCCTTGGCAGAGCTCGGGGGTTATGCTGCCATTCACTTGCGAGGTTAGGCTCTGCCTCAAATATATAGGTTTTTAAAGGACAAATATGGCTTTCTTACTATGACCTATATTGATGCATAGCATAACATGAAATATAGATACAGTGCTGTACTATATAGAACAGTACCAAGTTACCTGGAGCTTTTAAATAGATAGGATAGATGGATGAATATCTATCTATCCTATCTATTTAAAAGCACCTGGTAGCTTGGTACTATTCTATATAGTACAGCTCTGTATCTACATTATCTCTATAGGTTTTTTGGTGAATCCCTATATCCCTCCAGTTTAAAGCTTTTTCCCTGTCTGTCTTGTTACCTCTTCCTTCTGTATATTCTATCTTTGGATATCAGACTATTTGCACTTTATAACATGAAATATGTTTAAAATAAAAACAAATGAGAAATAAAATACATTTTAATATAATAATTTCTACACCACCTGTTTAACTAAAATACAACTTCTAACTAGATACACGTATTATTTCTTATAGTTAAAATGTCACGTGTCAGGGATTTCAGCTATATTTGTGAAGTTATTAGACAAATATTGAAAACAGCAAATTACAGTTTTTTAATTTATTGTTTACATTTTATTTTTGTTGTGCAGGTAGGTACATATCAACCACATAATTACCACAACAGTGTAATTATATATTCATACAGGCTTGACATTGTCATGAGTGTTTGCACATTTTAAAATATAAACAAGCTTAACAGAAACAGGCTTAACATAACTGATGTGTAACTGCTGTGTAGTGTAGTATGTATGTCGATTGAGGTTGTTTTACAACAGAATATTGCAGTATAAGACAAGCTAGGTGCTGGATAACATTTAGTTACATAGCTAGCTATCTCACAGCATAGGCAAGAAGAAGATACAATGATGATGTTGGTCCTCTGGACATGGTGCGTGGATATAGAACATGTGTTATGAACTGAGAGTCATGCCTATACAACTGATTAAGTTAAGTAGATTCCCACTAGGATTGCCTTCCATACGTGTGGAGCTTGTGATAGGGGGAGAAACATACTAAACATATGACTAGGAGGCAGTTAAAAATAAGGCTAGGAGACATCAGATAGTGTATACAATATAGGACATCTTAAACTTTAAGGGGTAAAATGGCGGTTTCACAGGCCTCTTGGCCTTCTCTTATCTTGCACAGTCCACCCAAGTCTAGCGATCTATGTTTCATCCAATTCCCGTAGTCGGGTGGTCTATCGATCTGGTGTGGGTTTTACTGGGGGGCCGCTGAGGTAGCGTAGGGTGAGGATGTCCATCCACAGCTGGGCCCGTGTGGCTGTTGGTGCCTCTATTTCGCGGGCATGGGGCACATAGGGATCAAGTCCCTCTGATTTGGAATGTAGTAGTGGCCCCCCCTGGGTGGCTTTTGGACCAGGTGAGTATAGGGGTGTATTAACGGGAGCTTGCTTGCCTTCTTTGTCCAGAGGAGGCTTGTTCACATCACGTGGTTCAGTGTGTTGAACTACAGTCTCCTGAGGGAAGTTGTAGTTGCTGCTCGTGCTTTCAATTTAGCCCAGAAACTGGTAAATTTCACCTCTAATCTCTCCAAGGAGTGTTCAATAGAGAAGCTGAGGCCACTGCTGGTCGGTAGTAGAGTAGGCTCTGCTGGATGTTGTTTGTTCGCCATTTTGGAGGGTTCTATGGCGTGCAAGCAAGTGACTCTCGTTGACGACACAGTTTGACTTGACTAGTCCAGTGGGGACTGGGATAGCCCCCAGGGGGGTGGGCTAAGGCAAGGCTTGTCAGTGTCCAAGAGAGCAGGGAAGTCGGCCACCCTTCCTGCTGCCCAGTCACTTGTAGGCCGCAAATCGCCTCCGTGGGCTTCCTGCATCTCGGGTGCATGAGTATTATGTCGCTGTGATCCGCAGCTTGTCCTCAATCAGAGTGATGAGTGTGGGTGGCTAAATTCGGAATGAAAACGAGGATTTTGCCCCAAATATTGTCGGCTTGTATGGGAGCTCACACAAACACTGCTCTAAAATACAACAAGGATTGGCAAATGGTAGATCCACAGCTGGTAAATCATTGTGGGAGTTGTACGACAGTTAAGTATCTACCTAAAGAAGTCACAAACAAAAACATTCTTGCACCCGGGCTCACACAGTGTGTGTGGGGCACTGTATGTGTCTGTGGGGCAATGTATGTATGGGGGGGCGTGTGTATATGGGGCAATGTGTGTATGGGTGTGCAGTGTATGTGTGTGGGGGGCAATGTGCCTATGGGTGTGCAGTGTGTGTATAGGTGGCAGTGTTTGTGGGGCAGTGTGTGTGTAGGAGGCTCCCTTTCTCTTATTAAATAGCTGCCACCCACAGATCACTGTCCAGCCAAAATTATTCATTTTAATTGAGGGCATGGTGAGGTACTTAATGGTCCCCTATAGGGTTTTTTAATATACAATTTTTTAAAAATTTTAATGTAACAGCTTGCTAGGAAGCATTAGGCAGCCTCCACATAATTAACGCTGGTGCCACAGAATGCAGCTAGTGGGCACATAGAACTTAAAATTATTGTTTGCTTTTACTTTTCTCTCTCCCCCCCCCCTTTTTTCATATTTAAATATTTTTTTTTTTAACTTTGATAATTTTTATTGATCTTTTTGGGGATACAGAAAGAAGAAAGGGTGGGGGAAAGCAGTGGCAAGCTTAAACATACTTAGTACAGTGGTATGGGCACGCATCGTTGGTGCCTTATTGTTAGCAATTTAGGTGTGTTATACAGTATACAAATTGATTATACAATTTCCATCTGGAGTATTATGCTACAAGTTTGCACTTATTTGAGCAAATTAGGTCATGCGTGCTTCAGGTATGGTATTGGTGACTTTGATATTCTTTATCCAGGATGCCACTGGGAAAAGGGGGAAACTGTAGGGGGACATCGGGGGGGGCGGGGGGGGTGACAGGGAAGTGAGTACCGTTTTTTACATGTTTGTACATTGGTTTGTGCCCTGAGGAACACAGCTGTCGGTTTGCAGATATATGCTTTTGCCATCTCCGTTCATTTCCGGGAGGGATTATTGCGCCCCATGTATTGGCGCCAATCGTCCCATGCCTCTAGCCAGTCCTTCTTTGGAAGGGGGGTTCACCTGGCAGATATTTCATATAGTCTTGTAGTTTCTAATATTTGTGTAAATTCAGTGATTGGCATTGGTAGAGGTGATTTCCAGTGTCTGCTAATTACCGTAGGGGCCGCCATGAGTATCTGATATGTTAGGTATTTTTGCTTCCACCTCATTCCTTTTGGAAATAGTTGGAGGAGGTATGTTTCAGGTGTTCTGGGTAATAGTGTTTTTATGCTCTCTTGGATTATGGTGGAAACTGCGTCCCAGAATGGGGTTAGAATGGGACAGGTCCACCAGATATGGAGCATCGTGCCTTTATGCTGCTGGCATCTCCAGCATATGTTAGATGATTGTGGATGTGCGGCTTTAATGCGAGTAGGTACTAAATACCACCTGTATAGGATTTTACGAGAGAGCTCCATGTGTGAGGCACATTTAGAAAGGGAGTTATGCGCCTTTAGAATGTCTTTCCACTGCTGCAGGGTTAGGTTATATTTAAATTATTTCTCCCAGGCAGTTGTGAAGGAAAATTTAGTATGGTCATTGTGTGTGTGTATTGATTGGTAGATTTCAGAGATTAATTTTTTAGAGGGTGAGAGGCATAGGCAGATTTTTTCTACCACCGTTAGCTGTGGCTCCTGTACATTTCCAGTCCCAATCATAGTTTGTTTGTGGAACCAGGACTTTAATTGTAAATAGGAAAAGGAGACCTGTGCATTGAGGTGGTAGGATTCTTGCAGGTCCCTGAAACTTCTAAGTCCTGATCCTGGAGGAGGTGGTGTAGATGTGTGATATCATATCGATGCCACATTGTGTGGTTGAAGTTGGGGATTATGTATTGTAGTGCTTTTAGGAGCATGGCTTGTGATGTTTTACCTATCCAACCAATTTTGCGGCAGTGCATGTCCCAAAAGTGTAATGTTAGTGCTGTGGCGGGAAGCATCAACCAGTCGGTGGTCTGTGGGATTTTGGGAGCCATGCCAATATGTTTATGGGGATGTTATTTGCGTGGTATGTCTCTATCTCTTCCCACGGGGTTGGCTGGGTTATAAGTGGGCCCAGGATGGCTGCACGGTAGTAGCTATCTAGGTTACGTACACCCATCCCTCACCTCTCCCGCGGCAGATATAGTGTGCTTTTCGCCATCCACGGTTTGTTCTCGTCCCATATGAATTTCATGAGTGTTTGTTGTGCTTCTTGGAGGAAGCAGGGGGGTGGGGAGGAGTAATTTTATTGGCAGTGTTCTGAATAGGTATTGTAATTTAGGTAAAATAATATTTTGACCGCAGCTATTCTACCTGACAATGAGATGTATTTACCTTTCCATCCTGTTAACAGCATTTTTATATCAGATAATGTTTTTTGGTAATTTGTTTTATATAGTTGGGTTGGTGTCAGGGTGATGTTAATTACTAGGAATTTTAGGTGGTAGGTTCTCCAGTCATAGTTAAAGGAGCTGCTCTAATGCGTCTGTGGGAATATTTATGCCCATAGCTTGGGTTTTGGTAACGTTTAACTTGTAGTGTGAGCATTTGCTGTAATGGGATAGGATAGAATGGAAGTTTGGCAAGGATATTTGGGGTTGCTCCAACGTCAAGAGTACATCATCAGCAAACAATGTGAGTTTGTACTCTTTGCCTTGTTTGGTGATGCCATGTATGTTCGGGTTGTCCCTGTGTGAGTGGTTCTAGGGACAGAATGTATAAGAGAGGGGAAAGCGGGCATCCCTGCCGCGTTCCGTTAGTTATGTTAAATTGTTTGGAAATGAAGCCTCCATTCGTGACTTTCACGGTTGATTTGGAGTATAGTGCCTCTACCAGTTTTAGGAAGTTGTCAGGAAAGCCATATTTATTGAGGACCGCACGGAGGAAGGGCCAGTGCAACCTGTCAAAGGCTTTCTCTGCATCAAGCGATAAAAGCACACATCTGCTCCTTGTCTGCCACTGACAAAACCCACCTGGTCCTCATGTATTATGGTCGGTATGATGTTTGCTAGACGGTTTGAAAATATTTTGGCTAGTAGCTTAGTATCTGTATTGAGGAGGGATATTGGCCTGAGGTTCTGGCATTTGGTCGGGGGTTTGCCCGGCTTTGGTAGTGTGGCCACTTGCGCCATGAGCATATCCTGGGGTATCTGGCCGGTTGTAATAATGTGGTTAAAGGATTTTTCTAGATATGGAACAAGGGATGCAGTCAGTGACTTATAATAAGAGTTTGTCAGGCCGTCTGGCCCTGGTCATTTCCCGTGAGGGAGAGATTGGATGGTGTGTTGGATTTCCTGTATCGTGACTGGGTTTTGTAAAGTGTTTTTTTGTTGTGCTGAAAGTGTTGGCAGTGTGGTTAGCTGGAGGAAGTCTTCTATGTCTGAAGAGGTAGGTTGGTGTAAGTCTTTGAGGTTGTATAGGGAATGGTAGTAGGTTGCCATAGTGTCGTTAATGTCCTGTGGGTTGTGGATTTTAGATCCCTTATTCGTAAATAGATTGGGTATTTTGGCGTTGGATTGTTTTTGTCTCAGTAAGGTCGCTAAATGTTGACCTGCTCTGTTGCCTTGGGAGTATGATTTTTGTTTCAATTTGTGTAGGATGTGTGCAGTTTTGGCAAGTGCCATATTCTTGATTCGTGTCGTGGTGTCTTTGATCACCTGTGTTTGTTGCGGGGTAGGATTTGCTATATTCTCCACAGTAGTGTCTCTTAATGTGGGCAGCAAGTTCAGATATTCCTCTTGGGTTTTCTTCTTTACATAAGATGCGCGGCTAATTAACAGGCCTTGTATTACCACTTTGTGGGTTTGCCATAGCATTGTTGGGTGTATGTCTGGAGTGTAATTTATTTGGAAGTATGTGTGCAGGGCGTCTTTTAGTGTTTGAGAGAAGGTATGGTCATGGAGGAGTGAATCATTGAGGCGCCATGGTGGCCGCCCTCTGTGCCGGTATTCTCCAATGAGCTCCACAATAGTCGGGGCGTGATCCGACCAAGTGATGTCCCCAATGTCACTATCAGTAACCTTGGGTAAGAGTGTGCCTGCGAGAAAAATTAAGTCTATCCTCGAGTGGGATTTATGTACTGCTGAATAGTATGAGAATGATTTCTCAGTCGGGTGGTACGTTCTCCATGAGTCGTAAAGTCCATATTCCCCTAGCAGTTTATCTAGGGCTTTGCTTTGTGTTCATATTGCTGCCTGTCTAGGGGCTGTGAGGTTTAACGTGGTGTCCATATTGGGGTCTAAAGGGTGGTTCAGGCATAGTATGGTGGCGGCCGTTTGATGGTCTGGAATCATAGATAATACCTTATGCAAAAAATTACGTTGGTGCACATTTGGGCTGTAGAAGCTGATTACAACATATTAAGTAGGCACTGAAGCATCACATATCTCTCCTGACTGTCTATTTTAACACATAAGGTTTCTACAGTTAGGGAAGCATGAAGAAGGATCGACACTCCTTTCGATTTTGAGGAGTGGGTGGCATGGTATTGGTGTGGATAGTCCTTTATACCAAAGTTTGGCACCTTAGAGGTGACAAAGTGAGTTTCTTGGAGGCATATGATATCTGCTTTATACTTTCTAGCCTCCTCTAGTACCATGCGTCTTTTGTGGGGGGTATTATGGTAAGGGTAGCTTGTATGGGAACCTGTGATTTCCATAGTGGGCAACCTGGTCAGTAGTGGTTGATCAGTGTGCCACCTGTAGGGCGGTCGTAAGACCGTAGTGTATATCCTGGGAGTTAGGAATAGTAAGGAAAAGGAGATAAGGGGTGGTGTGAAAAAAAATATATACAACGTAAAACCCATATATGGGTCTTGGCACTGTGACATTGTGCCATGGGGGTCGGACGCTCGGGTAGCGTCTCTGGTAGTGTGGCCAATGGGCTCTCATAATGTCACATTTTCAAAAGAATCAGAATGTTAGGGGGGTATAGTTGCGTGTCTCACTAAGTGGACGAGCGGGTGGCTGAACCTGGGTTGGCTCGCTTGGGGGTGCTGATACGTGGGCCTCTTTAAAGGCACCGCAGGAGGATTCCAGGGCGCTGCACAGTGCATCAAGTGGTGGGGGCCCTGTTCTTGTGTTTTAACTGTGGGGCCTGGCCTTGCCTTAGTTTCTGCCATGCGTTCTTTTCTCGAGAGGGGGGGGGGCAAGCCTGCCCGTACATTAGTCAAGTGGGGGCGTTATGAGTGGTTCGAATTAAACAAATGATTAACATATAAACATTTGCAGTAACAGTAACAACAACATGCTAATCAGAAGCAATTCACTTTAGCTATAACATTGGGCTTTAAGCAATATTTTGGTGTGTTATATTGATCTCACATGCTCCCAGGTTGTAGCGGTATGTGGGCACAATACTGCCGGATCTCAGGGCAGCTTGGATTTTGTCGGAATTTGACGCCACTCTGGTGTTAGATGACCAGTTGGGCTTGCAGGTGTGTGTGTAGAGCCTTTCATGAGTCCCCATTCGCGCATTTGTTTCTCGCCGTCCTCGGGTGTATGAATAATTGTCAACACTCCCTTTTTAGTGACCAATAACTTGGTGGGGTATCCCCAGCAATATCTGATCCCAGCTTGTCGTAATTCTTCAGTGATTGTATGAAATTCTTTTCGGCGTTTCAAGGTCGCTGTGGAGAGATCTGCCAGGATTTTGACTGTTGCACTGTTGATATGAAAGTAATGTGCCCTCAGGACGTCTCTGGGTACAGTGTCCGGTAGGTTCCTCGGTTTGGGAACCCTATGTACTCTGTCCACCAAGAGCAGTAGGCTCGCACGTAGGTTTGTAGGTCACAAGGAAGGACGGTTTCTGGGACCCCTCGCAGCCTGAGGTTGTTCTTCCGTGACCGGTCCTCTGCATCCGCCATGCGGGCCTCCATGATTTCAACTTTGTGCTCAAGGCCGCCACATGCTCTGCCATCTCATTGTGTGCTGTGGCAAACTCGGTAAGTTTATGTTCCACGTGCGCGGTTCTGGTCCCAATGTCTTGTACTTATTTCCGAAGTAGTTCTATCGAGCATTGCCAGGTTTTCATTAGTTTTTCTGCCATGGTGTTTAGTGCTTCCTCTAAATGTGCTTTAGTCAGGTTTCCTTGCTCTTCTTGATGGGAATCGGCCTGATGAGTGTTTCCCGCTGTTAACACGTCGACGCCATCTTGGTTTGTGCTCCGGTCGGTTTCAGAGGCTGCCGCCGTTTTTTGGTTGAAGAAGCTAAGTTTGTCGGCTTTCTCTGTGTTCTTCTTCCCCTTGGGCTGCGACATGGTGTTGTTTGAGGGGTTTCCCCGTGTTCTGAGAGTGGATGATTGGGGATTGAGAGACCCCGGGTGCTGGAGCAATTTCCTAAGCAGCCAGGTTGCTCGGAAGTTGGCCGCGCACCCCCCTTCATATTTAAATTTTTATTGCATTTTTCTTTTTCTTTTTTTGTTTCCTCTTCTCTCTCTTTCTCTCTCTTTTTTTAAAATGTATTTATTTATTTTTATTATTGTTTGACTTCATTAAAGTGAATTATTATTTGGGAATGTTTATCCGGCTGAATGTTATTAATATCTGTGCTCTGTAAATCTTTCAAATTCTATGCTATGTATGGGATTTTGTGCAAAGGACAACAAATGTATCCACCGATTTGTAGCAGATTTGCTTAGGCCGACCAAATTCTGACTGTATTTGGCCTTAGTACATATGAGAATTGCCACTGTCGTCAGAATTTGGTTAACTTAGTGAATAAACCTGCCTGATGGTGAATTCAAAGTGAATTTCAAATGTAAGGCAAGAGTTGCCAAACTGTAAGTATAACAGAATGTTTCCTGTTGCTATTTTGACCTTCAAATTGAAATTACTTTTAAATTCACTTTGAGTTCTCGCTTTAGTAACTAACCCAGAATGTGTTAAAAGATTTTGTAACAATGTAACAGTAGTTATATTTTTGTTATTTTTACATGTTAAAATATATTTTTTTTAAATTTTACAGCAAAAACAATGAAATCAGATGTATATAATTTAACAAATATGTAGTAGTTTTAGTTATATTTTTTTCATTACTAAGTCATTGTTAATTTTGCGTGATTTCAATTGTATAATACATGTAGATATTAATCAAGCATTTTTGTATTTTCAATGCAGTTTCTAGATCTATAACATGTACATTATAAATTTCTAGGTAAAGTAAACTTGGCTGCGTGATAAAAATAGATACTTAAACCACATCTTTGCCAATGTGAATAAGTGAAATTCTGTCAGATTGAAGACAATACAAAGCTCGTTGAGGAATCCAACAAATGTTACATAGTAATCCCATTGGAAGAATTCTTTAGATACAGCCATGTATATGGTGACAAAGGATGCTGTCTCAAAATTCACTATGGGCTTAGAAGCCAAGGTCAGATATCATGACTGTTGTCAAGTGCCCTACACGTTAAGCATTCATTTATCTAGTTGTTAATATTATTTTTATGTTTATCTCTCCCAACATCTTAGTGATGGTGAGCATTTAAAAATTAGCAACAATTTAGGTACTATAATTATTATTATTATTGGTATTTATATAGCGCCAACTAATTCTGCAGCGCTTTACAATATTATGAAAGGAGGAAAATTTACAATAAATGAAACAATTACATAGTGACACAGGAGCAAGAGGTAGATGAGGGCCCTGCTCAAACCAGCTTACAGTCTAGAGGAGGTGGGGTACAAATACACAACAGGGCAGAAAGTGGAAACGTAGAATATCATCCAGTGCACTCAAGACAATTGTTGGTTATTACATAATGTCTCTACCAAGAGGTTAATTACAAATGTTTAGCTTTTTATAAGATTGTGTGCAACTATGATTATTTATAAACCTAAGAAATCTATGAGGGTTTTTCAATAGAATGTGAAACCAATGGTAAATATAGTCCAAAACAGGCAAGTGACAAAAAAAAAAAAATACTTGCAGAATTTTTCCAAATAGGCTATCGCAGCTTGAATTTTAAAATTAGCTTTTTAATATTTGTTTTTTCCTGATGAATCACACTTTCTGAATAATTTGGTACGTGTGTATTTTCATAGATAAAAAAATCAGTGTGAAGTGTCTAATAAATAGATTCCGAGGGAAAATAGAAACAATGTAACGAATAACATAACAAACTTAATAATACTTTAAAAATGTCGGTGTTCATAGGGACTGGAAGAAAACAGGTTCCTTGGCTTTCTTGTTTACACCTCCCCCCTCCTTCATGATGCCATTCTCTTATCTGCCAGAGGGGGGAGTATCTGTTAGTCAAATTAGCAAAGTGCTAAGTTATACTTGTAAAACTGTTTACTGAATTCCTTTTCATGCATTCACTCACAAAGAAATAGTTTTGCTTAAAGGGACGCTATACTCACCACAACAACTACAGCTTATTGTACTTGTTCTGGTGAGTATAGACAGTCCCTGCAGGCATTTTTATGTAAACATTTTATGTAAACACATTACATTGCTCTCTAGGAATATCTCCAGTGGCAGTCACTCAGGTGACCACTAGAGGCACCTCCATTCGACATGGAGACATTGAACATTCCTCATAGAGATGGATTGATTCCAACCCTTGCCCCTCCTCCTTGGCTAAGATAATCAGAATAATCAGATAATCATTGGTCAATTCTGATGATCTCAGCCAAGGAGGAGGGGCGAAGACATTACCAGCACCAGCGGACCCATGCAGTGCTGGAAAAAAAGTACGTTTTATAGAATTTTAAGTGGTGCAAGGGAGTGGGGTGGGGGTTACCTAGTAATTAGTGTTTTTAACACTATTGGGTCCGTAATACACATTTGTATTCCTTACCCTATAGTGTTCCTTTAACACAACGAGATACATCAAATTAAATGTACAGACAGACTTTTTGCTACAAATTATGTTGTTGTCTAACGTATTCCGGGATCCTAGGAAAATGGGACTTCTGACTAGAGATGTTTTAATGAATGTGTTAACCCCTAGTTATGAATGTTTCTAATAAACTGTAGAACACCAAGTCAGAGCCACAATCCAGTAGCTAGAGTTACAGAAGATGGTGTTCCAGTA